GGTGACCACCTTTGTAGGAGGTGACAGGGAAAAACCAGGAAGAACCTCCTCTCCCTGCCAGGGCTTCCCACTGTCTCCTGACACCTCCTCAAGGAAAGTGACCTCATTTCTCAAAGACAACGCTGATTCTAGGTCATATCCCCCTGGAACAAGAGACCAATTGATGTGATTATCTCCAAGAGAAAGGGGGGCACCAGCTAAAAGTAGACTATGGTGCCTCAGAAGGGAGAACACCAAGGGACCTAGAAAGGGGTCTCTGATAATTATCTGGCAAGGGACAAGGAGATTTCAAAGCAGAGGGCACCTCCGTGAAATGCCAAAGGAAAAAAAGGAAAGGGAAAGAAGAAAAAAAAGGAAAGGGAAAGAAGAAAAAAAAGGAAAGGAAAAGAAAAACAAGTTTTTGTAAACTTCTTCCTTCTTCCTGCAATTTCACTCTAATTAACCTAAGGGCAGAATCCTGATCTCCACTTTGTATTGTGTTATAGAACAGATAGACAAAGCAAAGATGGCCAAGGAAAGGAATTTCTGTAAAACCTCTTTCGTTATAAAAACCAGAGAGCTAATTCCACAAAGAAATATAATTCCCCATTGGGCCGAGTCAGAAATAACTGGGATGGCATTATTTCAGGAGAAGGGAGATGGCTGTGACACGTGGCCACCACCCACCTATTTGTCCCACTGTGGTGTTTGTGTGTTGCTAGGATACAGGAAGCCATGCCACAGCAAATACCAGCAGGGTCACCTGTCCGTGGTGGACAGGTGTCAACAGAGCTTCCAAACAAAGACAGAGTAGGAAGGAAGGCTTGGAACTCTACTTCCAAAAATCAGCCACTGAAAACCCTACAGAGCACGAGAGAACACTGTCTGACACAGAGCCGGAAAGTGAGCCCCTAGGTTGGAAGGCACTGAATAATAGTTACTACAGTGGATTCGAGCATAACCACCATCATGAAGATGTGCAGGGCCAGGCAATATGTCAGTCTGTTGTGCATGGGGTCACTGTGTGTCGGAGTCAACTCAACGGCAACTAACAACAGCATATAGATGGGTGTGTCTATGTGTGCACGTTCTGGTTATCTAGTGCCGCTCTGACAGAAATATACCACAAAGAGGGATGGCCTTAACAAATAGGAGTGCATTCTCTCATAGTTAGGAGGCTAGAAGTCTGAGTTCAAAGCGCCAGGCTCTAGGGCCTAGGTAAAAGCCCCTCAACCTTGGGCTTCAGCTCTGCCTCTTGCTCCTGGCCCACTGGAGCTAGAGGCATCTCTTCACTCAGGCAGCTCCTGGCTGCTGAGGCTAACAAGCCCAAGGTTGACAAATGAAATGGCACAGTCCTGATGTTACCAAATCATGTGGCAGGCCATTCATTCAAGTCCACTGAAAGTCCCAGTATTGGCAGAACATGGCATGCTGCTGAACAATGACATGGCCACATGCAGAGCTCAAGCGTGTCATAAGCTGAGACCATTCCCCAAGGCATCTCCTTATTATATACAGGAAGCAGACTATATCCCTAAGGCAGCTACTCAGCTGCTCACAGTAGATCCCACCATGGAGTTGATTACCAGTCTCCTCATGGGGAATACTATATCCAGCTGCCCAGCCACTCAACCAGGCCCAGCCAAGCTGACACACGAACTTAACTACCACAGTGTATTTGTGTGTCTACATAACAGAAAGAGTGAAACAGAGAGGTAAGTTTAGAGAAAAATCAATATCATGTTCGGAATAAATCTCTCTCTAGATTGTAAAATTACAGATGATCCTTACTCTCTTCATCGTGTTTTTTTTTTTTTTGGTCTTTTACAAATTTAATGCAATGTGCTTACATTACTTTTATAACATATAACCAAAAGTATTTGTTAACTTAACGTTAAATATTTGAGCTCTAAGCAATGAAAACTTTGCCTAGCCCTATTTCTGCACCATTTCAAAATTTTCAACATTTTGGTGTAGCCACATGCAGTTGAATCTCTTGGAAACTGAAAACTAATCGCAGCCTTTCTGCGGTGCCCTCCAGATACCTGCCAACCCTGGTGATGACCAAGAGGATTTAAAACCAGAGCAGGAGATAGATCGTTCACCTATTCCTCAAATGCAGACAGACACGTCAGTCTAGAGAAGAGTGTCCAAACTGGCAATGGAAATGAGACACTGCAGCTGAGTTTGGAGGTTGACATAGACAGTCCAACTGGGGTTGGAAGATGAAAAAGAGGAGACATGGGCTTCAATAAGCAGTGAGCAGTGGGCCACACCAATTTCAGTTCTTAAATAGTGGTTTTACACATTAGGAGTGTGTTGATGTGGGTCTGGCACAAGAAAGTTTCCAGAAGTGTCTCTTGAATGTTGTTCCTTAGCAATGGAGTTGGCCCCCACTCATGGTGACCAATTCACACTGGAACAAAGGCTGCCCGGTGCCCGGTCTTGCACCATCCTCATGACCAACTGCAGAATTTCAGAAGTCGATTGCCAGGCCTTTCTTCCTGGTCTGTCTTAGTCTGGAAGCTCTGCCGAAACCTAGTCAGCATCTGAGTAACACACAAGTCCCCACTGACAGAGAGGACTGGCCGTATGAGGTGCGTTGGCCAGGAACTGAATCCCATGGGTATCAGGGTACAGCTATGTTCCACGGAGTTTTCAATGGCTGATTTTTCAGACGTAGATCACCAGGCTTTTCTTCTGAGGATTCTCTGTACGGGCTCAAACATCTAAATTTTCAGTTAGCCAACAAGCGACCAGTAAAGTTGTGTAGCGTAGTGCCTAAGGCACTTGACTGCTAACTAGAAGGCTGGCGGTTCAAATCCACCAGCCACTCCTTGGAAGGAAGTTTGGGCAATCTACTTCCATAGTGATACCACCTCGGAAACCCAAGGAGGGGTCGCTATGGGTCAGATCTGACTCCACGGCAATGGTTGCATTGCGTTTGCGTAACAAGCGACCTGGGGGCTAAGGGGACTAGTTTTCAGGGTCAGTGATGGCAACTGAGGGTTCAAAAATGGTAGCCACGATATCCTCCAGAGGTACCCTGTGTCTTTTTTTGGGGAAGGAGGTATGGTTCTCACTATGAAGCCATCTTTTTGGTTTAGTTTGCACATAGGGAGCTCTGGTGGTGTAATGGGTAAGGTATTTGGTTGCTAACCAGAAGGTCAGTGGTTCAAACCCACCAGCTGCTCCGCAGGAGGAAAATGAGGCAATCTATACGCAAACGCAACTGCTGACTCCTAGCAACCCCTCAGGTTTCCGAGGCAGTAGCCCTACAGAAGTAGATTGCCCAACAATCCTGCCAGAGGAGTGGCTGGTGGGTTTGAACCGCCAGCCTTCTGGTTAGCAGTCAAATACCATTAGGCCACCAGAGCTCCTGAGGCAATCTATACTGCCTTGGAAACCCAATGGGGGTCTCTGTGAGTCAGAATGGACTGGATGGTAGTGGGTTAAGAATCTGCTTACATTAGCTTGCACAAAAAAAATCTGGAAAAAGGTCACTAGGTGGCGCAAGTGGTTTGTGCTCTACCACTAACTTAAAGGTTGGTGGAAGAAAAGGCCTGCAGATGTGCCTCCAACTCTGATTATAGCCAAGAAAACCGTGTGGAGCACAGTTCTACTCCGTAACACATGGGGTCAGTATGAGTTAGAATCTACTCAGTAGTAACAACAACAACAAAATTCCAGAGAAACGAGGGGTGTGGGGCTAACTGAGGCGCTGGGGTAAGGGAAGACCCCTTTTAAACAGTGACATGGAAGCTGGGTTCTGAAGACTGAAAAAGAGCCAACCCTATGGGAAGAACATGGAAAGGAATATTCAGTGCGGAGGGAACGGCAAACCTAAAACCTTGAGTGGGAAAGAGCGTAGGGCTTCTAAGAGTAGGAAGAAGGCAGATGGGGCTGGAGGGTGGGAAGCAACTGGGAGAAGGATGCAGATCAGGCTGCCTTTCTCAACAAGCCAGAACTCCAAGGGCGTCTACCACTCTCCGGAGCAAAGCCCAGTCCAGTACCTCTGTCCTCCCCCACGTCTGGAACTCCCCAACATCCTTCCTTCTCTGTTAGCTTTGTTAGCCCTGTTGCCATGGTGATGGGTACGCGAGTTCCAGTTACTCAGAAGGAGGGAGTTTTGTGTGGTGGGGAGTTCGTGCCCCTCCGTGTGGGGGTCCTAGGTCAGGCCAAGGATCCAGGTAGGCATCATGCCTGTCTTGGTACCCCCGGCTGAGCGCAGCCACGACACGCGTGTGGGAGCCCCATCATGGCGCGAGGCGGCTCTGGCCACCACGCAGAAGGTGCACCAGCTGACCGACCGTTGCGGTCAGGAGGCGGTGACCATGTGGCAGCCCAAGGAAAGCGTGCGGGATCCGCATGTAGCACGCCACCTCTGCCGCGCCGCCTACGTCCAGCCGTGGCGCTTCCCCGTGGAGATGGTCAAAGGCGGCGGTACTGTGGAGAAACCACCGCCCGGCGAGGGCGTCACCCTGTGGAAAAGCAAAATGAAGCCCCCCGCGTGGCACGCCCTCCTGCCGCTGCCCCAGCACCGCGACGCGCGCGCCCTGCAGACAGCCGAGGTGGCGCACGCGCATGCACGCGGAGCGCGCCTCACCGCCGCGCGCCTGAGCCGCGCGCAGCAGCAGGTCAATGGACAGGTCCGGCAGCTGCTGCGCCAGCGCGAGGCCACCGACCGCCGGCTCAGCGAAGTGCGCAAGGGCCTGCTTATTAACAAGCAGAGCGTCAAGCTGCGTGGCTACCGGCCCAAGTCTGAGAAGGTGGGACCCCGCTTCCCAGCCTTTGCTCCTGGTGCTGAGCCTGGGAAGAAAAACTCTCCAACCTCTAAACCCAGTGCTTGAGGGCAAGATAAGGACACCAGAGAGGAGGTGCCTAGAGGGTGCCATCCTCAGCTACCAGGCCCTGGGGAAAAACAATTCAATGCCCAGTCAGAGAGGTTGGGACCCCTGAGTCAGCCTGGATAAAATTCTTCCCAAAGAATAAAACCCAGAAACCTCCAGCCGGGAGGATAAAAGCCCCAACCCAGCCCCCCAGGCCCAAAGGGTGAGACCCTCTCAAGAGTGTGAGACCCTCAACACCTCAATCTCAGTGAAAACACACCCTCAGCCCCCAGCTGAGGAGAGCCAGAGGGTCCTAATCTTGATGAAAGTCTCCCCAACATGTGAAAAAAAGCCAAGCCCCCAGCCCCAGGGAGTGAGAACTCCTCCCCAGGCCTCATCTGGAGAGAAAAGAAGAGGTGCTGCCTGCAGAGTTGGGGCCTCTGGCTCCCAGCCCCCACATGTGAGAGCTGGGCCTCAGCCAGGGAGGAGAGGTGAGATCCCTGGGCCAAATTCTCTAAAAGGAAACTCCCAAGTGAGAAACTTCCAGTCCCCCTGGGGAGAGAGAGAGACCACGCATCCACAAGGTGGGACACCCCTTCACAGCCCCTCAGTTCCAGATAGTTGTCGTCATTGTCATTATATGCTGTTGTTGTTGTTGTTGTTATATGCTGTAGGAACCTCTAAAAGCTGCACCCATCCTGTGATGAGACTTTCTCATTGCTAGCAGAGACAGGGGATAAGACCACCTTCAAGGAAGGGGATCCCCCACCCCTAGCCCCAGGGAGTGAGAACAACCCTCCTCTGAGCGGAGTCACCTCCATCCCAGTGCACTGGGCTTCTCCCTGTAAAAGAAGCCTCCAGTCCCCTCTCCAGAGGGTAAGCTGCCCCCCAAGTGAGAGTCCCCTCAAAAGATTTATTCTCAGAGAGTGAAAATGCCCCCAATTCCATGCTCCTGTTAAACAAAATATCCCGACAAAGCAAAAATTAAATCTTAAGAGTTCATTTGGTTTCAAAGGGCTTCATGAATCTGCAGCATGGTCCTTGCAAAATTAGGAAGTGTGCCCCCTCCCCTGAACAAAAAGCAAGCTGGGATTTTGTATAGAGAAAGATGCAGAGAGAAAGACAAAACAGCATTTTTATATCTATTTCATGCAGAGCGCAGGTTGTCCAAAGCATGCCTTAGCTAGTCCAAAGGGTCTGTTTAATGTCTAAGCTAAAGCATCTAAGCGAATAAAAAACAAAAACTCACTGTCGTTGAGTTGGATCCGACTCATAGTGAGTCGCCTCCTTGGGTTTCCGAGGAGGTATCACTACGGAATTAGATTGCCCAATCTTCCTTCTGAGGAGTGGCTGGTGGGTTCGAACCGCCAGCCTTCTGGTTAGCAGTCAAATGCCTTAGGCACTAAGCTACCAGAGCTCCTTCTAAGCAAATGGGCTAGTAGAAATGTGTGCACAGGAAAAAAAAAAACTCTTTCGGTATACCAATGAGGTCAAATAACTGCTAGCTGCTGTGGAGTCGATTCTGACGCCTGGAGACCCCGTGTGTGCAGAGAATTGTACCAGGGTCTTCAAGGCTGTGACTTTTCAGGAGCAGATTGCCAGGCCTGTTTTCCAAGCCCCCTCTGGGTGGCTTTGAACCACCAACCTCTCAGCTAGTACAGTGAAATCTGCGAAAGTTGGACCCTGTGTAAGGTGGAAACCTGGCAGAGAAGAAAAACTCAAATGTTACCCCCAGATAGAGTGTGATAGAAGAGTGCTAAGACTGCACTCTGTCCCAGGCAGGGAAACCTGTGGGGCCTGGAAAAACAAGGCAGCTTCGTCAAGTTCCTGACTCTCACGGTTTTCACTGCAGTTGAGCACTTAACCTTTCGCACCACTTGGAAGGAAGGTGGGACAATCTACTTCTGTGGTGATACTGCCTCGGAAACCCAAGGAGGGGTCACTATGAGTCGGGTCCGACTTGATGGCACATAACAACAACAACAGGGATTTCAACGAGGAAGGTTAGAATCTTTCAGGCCTTTTGAATTGCAGCAAGTCTGGAGGACACAGTACAAATACTCCAGACCTAGAATTCATGAGGTTGGCAAGCCCCTCTACCCTGGATGGAGAAATCGCCCTCTAGCCCTCTCCTGAGGGTGAGAGAGACTCTCCTCATTGTGCCAGGTCCCTGACAAGGCTGACAGCATGCTGACATGGGAGGAAGAGGAGCTGAAGGCCTTGAAGAGGAAGATGGAGAAAGATATGGAGAAGTCGGAGACCTTGCTTAAGGTTGGGAGCCTCCGAGATCATAGTTAGAGGGGCTGGAGGGGGCATTCCCATTCACCTACCAGGCAAACCGCTGTGGCCTTGGGGACTGGAACCACAGCAAATCTCTCATCCCACCCACATTATTGTTGTTAGTTACCACTGAGGCAGCTCTGACTGCTGGAGACCCCATGTGTGTGAACTGTCCTCTGTAGGGTTTTCAAGGCCTTTCAGAAGCAGACCACCAGGTTCTTTCCTCCAAGGTACCTCTGTGTGGGATTGAACCACCAACTTTTCAGCTAGTAGTCATGGGCTTAACGCAGGGACCTCCACTGAGCGGACACCATATTTGTACTTTGTGAAATGGAAAAACCCAGGCTCAGATTGTTAAACTAACAGTGGACACCCCGTCTGTGCCAAGCCCCATGCAGTCACTGAGCTAAGTCCTTCAAACACTCCTATGAAATTAAAAACTAAGATCCTCTCCTTAGAGATGGGGAAATTGAGGCTCAGAGGAAGACAGCTTCACCCAAGGTACAAAGGTAGCCAGTGGCAGAGCTGAGGTTTCAGCTCAGGTGTCTTGAGTCTAAAGTTTCTGCGTGGCACAAATGGTTTTTGCACTTGACTAATAATTGAAAGGGAGCTCTGGTAGTGTGGTGCCTAAGGCATTTGACTGCAGTAGATGGGGCAGTCTACTTCCGTAGTGATACTGCCTCAGAAACCCAAGGAGGGGTCGCTATGAGTCGGATATGACTAGACAGCAGTCAGTTTGTTTTTTTCTTGGAATAACTGAAAGGTGGGAACTTCAAACCCACCCAGCGGCTCTCTCGAACAAGCCTGGTGATCTGTTTCTATAAAAACTTCAGCAAGAACACCTTATGTAGGGCTTTTGTTGTTGTTGTTGTTGTGTGCCGTCGAGTCAGCCCTGACTCATAGAGACCCCTCCTTGGGTTTCCGAGGCAGTATCACTAGGGAAGTAGGATTGCCCAACCTTCCTTCCGAGGAGTGGCTAGTGGGTTTGAACCGCCAGCCTTCTGGTTAGCAGTCAAGTGCCTTAGCCACTATGCTACCAGAGCTCCCTTATGTAGGGCCATCCTACTGTAATACCTGGGGTTGCTGTGAGCTGGAATCCACTGGACGGCAATGGGTTTGTTTTCTGGTCTTCAGTCTAGTTCTTTATATTGTAAGATGTGCTCCTCCTTTCTCTGCTCCAGCCAGAGATGGTCTCTCACTATGTCCCTTTGCACTTGCAACAAGAATTTCTTCATCAGAGCGCTAATGGAGAGGGCAGTGGTAGACTCCTCCCCTCCTCTGTGGGAGAGCCCCAGTCAATGCCCTGATACACAGTTACCAGCCATCTGTCTGTGAAGGCTTGGGTGCGACTACGTTGCTGAACAAGTTTCAGTGGAGCTCCCAGCCTAAGACAGACTAGGCAGAAAGGCCCAGTGATGCATTTCTGAAAATCAGCCAGTAAAAACTCTATAGATCCCAGCGGTTCAGTAATCAACCGGCCATGAGGATGGCGCAGGACCAGACAGTGCATGGGGTCACAGGAGTCAGCAGAGGGCTCAAGGACAGCTAACAACAGCAACACACATTCTTTCTCCCCCTCTCTCTCTTTATATATATGTGAACATATATATACCAACCAACCAAGTCACTGCCATTGAGTCAATTCCAATTCATAGCGACCCCCACTGAGTTTCTGAGGCTGTAAATCTTTACAGAAGTAGACTGCCCCATTTTCCTTTTGTGGAGCTGCTGGTGGGTTTGAACTGCCAACCTTATGGTTAGCAAGCAAACGCCTTAGGCACTACACCATCAGAGCTCCATACACACACACACACACACACACAGAGACATATATATATTAAGGTAACATACACATAACATAAAATTTGAAGAGTACAGTTAGGTAGCATTTAGCACATTCACAAAACAGTGCAATCATTACCTCTATTTAGTTCCAAGACATTTTCACTTCTCCACAAGGAGACTTCGTACCCCCAGGAGCAGTCACTCCCCATTGGCACCTCAGCACTGCTCCTGGCAATCACTAATCTACTTTCCGTCTCTATGGACTGTTTTGACATCATCTTCAAATAACTGCAAGTATCAGGGGAATGCAGTAAGCTTCATTTTATGATGGAGGAGGTAGGGTTTGGGTAGGAGGGAATGTTCCAGATGACGTGGAGCCTGGGGGAGGGGGAGGATTCTGAGGACAGGAAAGGGAAGACCCTGAGGCTGGGGCTAGTGGCGGGCTAAGCCTTGAATGCAGGTGAGGAGCAAGGGCTAGGGCACAGGAGAACAGAGGTGTAAGTGGATGGTACAAATGGTTCACTCACTCAGCAGCTAACTGAAAGGTCCAAGTGTACCCACAGGCATCTCAGAAGAAAGGCCTGGCAATCTACTTCCAAAGCAAACAGCTATTAAAAACACTATGGAGCACAGTTAGAGTCTGACACATACAGGTTGGCCATGAACCAGAGTCCACGACTATTAACTGGTAATGTCTCTGTTTTACACTTGAGGAAACCGAGAAAGGGAAGCTTCCTCGAAGCCCAGGAACAGAACTAGAAACAGAACCCAAGCAGTGGTTGGGAAGGGAAGCTGCCAATAACTCCTGTGGCCCCTTCCAAAGGGACCACTGGGTGAGAGGGACAGTGTGAACTGTGGCTAGGAAATCACTCTTTTCTGGCTGCAGCACACTGGAGGAAGGGGGCCAATTTAGAAGCAGAAACTCTTTGCAGCCTCCAAGCCTCTAGCCCCCAGCCGCAAAAGCACTCCAGCCACCTCTCCACCTCCCAGTTTTGCCTTCTTCCCTGGCTCCCTCTCCTTTCTCGCCTCCAGGCCCTGGCCTCCTGCCGGGACACTTTAGTCTACTGCTTTAAGGAGCGGCTCCAAGCTGTGGACTTGATGAACCAGCCGCTGGACAAAGTTCTGGAGCAGGCAGGCCGCCAAAGGGTGGGCCTCTCTGGTGACCCCAGCTCACGCACTCAGGGCCAGAAAACGCCGCCTCCAGACCCCGTGGGCACCTACACTCCAGGTAGCTCCCTCAGGAGCCCCTTTTTGGTCACAGGTGCACCCCTCTTCCAGCCACAGCTGCCCCTTGCGGCAACCAAACAGCAGAGCTGAAAGCGAGTCCCCAGCCGAGCCCCGCTTCTAGCGCAGCTCGTCCACCGGCGCAATCCTGCTTCCCACAATGGACAGCCCTCACTCCATCTGTGGCCTGCGCCATAATCCCGTCTCTACTTCCAGGGGAACACACCCCAGAAGCTACTCACTCTCCCCCACCGTCGCCTTCTCCCCTGGACTTTCTCTCGGTCCTCCGTTCCTCACTAAAGCCCCCTCGCCCAGGGCTCGCCACCACCTAAGACTAGAGAGGGGGCGGAGCGCAGAGCCAGGGTCTCGGGACAGCCCCACGAGCGTCCCACCCTCCCCAGAGTGTGCGGCGGCGCTGGACGAAGCCAAGCGGTTGTTGACGGAGTCCAAGGACACTTTGATGGACATGGCAAAGAACGAGGCGCACGTCCAGGAGCAACAGCAGCAGATCAGCAACCGTGTGAGCGCCACGCTGTCGCAAAAGACACTCGAGACCGCGGAGCTGAAGGTGTCTGCGCCTGGAGCTGCTTGGAGATGGGCGGGAGGAAAGGAGGGGGCGGGGAACTAGTGTGATAGCCTCCCTGCGTCTCCAGGAAAGAATGCACATGACGTTGGGGCTAATGAGAGGCACTATCAACCGGTGCACAAAATTCAACCAAGAAATGTACACTACCCGAGGCCTCATCAAGGTGCGCTTGGAGGGGGCCGTCCGCGGAGGTGTTGGGGGTGGCGGAGGCGTTCCTGGGCAGGTGGGCCTCACTACTCCTCGCACCACCCTCCACCAGGGTCCCTTGTCCACAAGTCACCTGGAGACTCGAGAGAAGCTGGACAGACCACTGGTTCGCGTGTACCAACGACACGTGGGCACCCAACTCCCTGAGGCCACGCTCCTCGCCAAGGTATGCTCTTCCCAGCCCTGTCCTGGTACAGCCCCTCCCTGACAAGGTACCTTCCTCAGGCACACCTGGCCCAGGTAAGACTTCCCACCCAGGTCGCCTCTCCTTCAACTCCGGCCCGGGGTGAAGGGGCATTCATTATCCACAACTCTGCCTCAAGGAAGTCCCCTCAACCCCTCTCCACCCCTCCTCGCTCCCTCAAGGTACAGCCCCTCCCTCAGCCCCGCCCTGACGCAAGTTCATTTTCAAGCACTTCTGATCCAGGTGTGTCTCCCCGCCCTATCCGGAGGCCCTCCCCTCTTCGGCTGGCCTCCTTCTCAGGCTGGGTCCTCCCACACGCACACCTGGCCCAGGTGTGTCCCCCTGCCCCGGAAAGCGCCCCGCCCGCCGCTCTGGCTCGCTGGGCCTCCAGCACGGCCTCGCCCCTCCGCAGGGCACTGACAAGCTGCAGCGCCACATCGCGCATTTGGAGAAGAACCTGCACGAGCTGCTGGCCACGCGCAAGCACCTCACCTGGAGCCTCAACTGCAAGAAGATGGGGCAAGAAGTGGACCAAAACGCGGTGCGCCTGCGCCTGCGCCAGCGGCACCCGCACGTGTGCTACGAGCAGGCGCAGCGCTTGGTCAACGATTGGGACCCGCGCACGCCACCGCGCCGCGAGTCTGATACCGCCCCCCAGTGACAGGCGCGCCCCCGGTCTCACCAGTCGGTCCGGCCCTGGCGGTGGTCTCCCTTTCCTCATCCACCCTCCGTCAGAGCGCCCTCTGACAGAATTATAATTTAAAATAACAATAATTACCATTATTAAGCACCTACTACATGTCGATTTGTGAGGACAGTGGTGGTTCAGAGGTCCCTGAGTGGCGCAAACGGTTTGCTTTAGACCATTAAACGGTTCAAATGCATCCAGCGGAGCCATGCGAGAAAAGCCTGGTGATCTGCTTCTGTAAAGATCAGAGCTAACAAAACCCTCTGGAACAGTTCTACCCTGACATGCGGGGTTGCCACGAGCCAGAATTGCCTCAACCGCAATGGCTTGGTTTTCTGCTTTTGGTGGTTGGGTAGTAGATTTCTCATCTTCCATATGGGAGACTGGGTTCGATTCCCAGCCAGTGCACCTCTGGGCCGGCGGCCCTGGTCCTTCAGTGGAGGCCTGCATGTTGCTCTGATGCTGAACCAGTTTCAGTGGAACTTCCAGGCTAAAAAGGACTAGGAAGAAAAGCCTTGCCGTCTGCCTCTGAAAACCAGCCTTTGGAACACAGCCATCCAGTCCACAGCCCATCTGGGGGTTGGCCCAGGACCCAGCAGTGGTTCCTTCTGTTGTGCATGGGGTCGCTGTGAGTTCCCTGGACTGGATGGCAGCTAACAGTAACATATGTCAATTGCTTCCCCTACAACACATGATAGGTGATGGACTCTGGGAGGATAGGCTTGGGCTCCAGGTTAAAAAAACAACTCACTATCATCAAGTCCATTCCAACTCATAGCAACCCCCACTGGGTTTCTGAGGCAGTAAATCTTTACAGAAGTAGACTGTTCCATCTTCTTTCCTTGAAGTGGCTGGTGGGTTTGAACCACTAATCTCGTTAGTAGTCAAATGCCTTAGGCCCTGTGCCACCAGAGTTCCTCTCTTGCCTCTGTTGCCAGGCTCCAGGTTGTTGTTGTTGTTAAGTGCCGTCGAGTCGTTTCCGACTCATAGCGACCCCATGCACAGCAGAACGAAACACTGCCCAATCCCACGCCAGCCCCACAATCCCTGCTATACTTGAGCCCATCATCGCAGCCACCATGTCAATCTATCTCGTTGAAGGCCTCCCCCTCTTTCATCGACCCTCCACCCTACCAAGCATGACATCCTTCTCCAGGGAATGGTCCCTTCTTACAAAATGACCAAAATAGGTGAGATGAAGTCTGGCCATTCTCGCTTCCAAGGAGCATTCTGGCTGCACTTCCTCCAGGACAGATCTGTTAGTTCTTTTAGCAGTCCATGGTGCTTTCAGCATTCTTCGCCAGCACCACAACTCAAAAACATCAACTCTTCTTCGGTCTTCCTTATTCATTGTCCAGCTCTCACATGCATACGAGGCAATTGGAAATATCATGGCTTGTGTCAGGCACACCTTAGTCCTCAAGGAGATATCCTTGCTCCTCAGCACTTGAAACAGTTCCTTCGCAGTTGACTTTCCCAATGCTACACATCGTCTAATGTAGCACTTTAAGGTAAACCATTTACTTTGGTTGGATCGAATTATGTGCTCTCGAAATGTATATTGAAACCTATGCTCGTAAGTGTGATTCTGTTTGGAAACAGAGTTTTCTTTGTTATGTTAGTCTACACCAGGATAGAGTAGTATATCTTCTGAGTTACAAAAAGAGCAGAATGACCTTAAAAATATCACGCTGATAAGAATAAGTCAGTTAGTTGCAAAAGGACAAATAATGCATGATCTCACTTAAATGGAAGAAGCAAATATATGAAAACCAAAAATCATTAGTGGTTACCAGAGGTGGGAGCTCTTGTGGTGTAGTGCCTAAGGCATTTGACTGCTAACCAGAAGGCTGGTGGTTCAAATCACCAGCCACTCCTTAGAAGAAAGACAGGGCAATCTGCTTCCATAGAGATACTGCCTTGGAAATCCAAGGAGGGGTCGCTATGAGTTGCAATTGACTCCATGGCAGTGAGTTTTATTTATTTATTTTTTTTGGAGGGGGGGAGGGAGGAGGAGAGGGGGGAGTCTTTGCTTAGGGGACACTGAGTTTCTGTTAATGGTGGTGGACTAATTTGGAAAAGGATGGCAAGAATGGTTGCACAACTTGAATGTCACTGGATTATACACGTAGAAATTGTTATGTTTTGTATATAATTTCAATACAATTTAAAAAAAAAGAGCAGAATAGATACAGAGACACACACCTGGAGGAAGACAGACTCCATATGAGGATCATCTGTAAGCTGAGGAACCAAGGAATGCCCTGGACCACCAACAGGGAAGGAATTGACATGACCGATACCCTGATTCGGCCTTCTAGCCTCAAGACCTTTAAGAAAACAAATTTCTGTTCTTTAAAGCCACAACCTACTTGTGGTCTTTGTGTTACAGCACCTCTAGGAGACTAAGACACCATCTTTTGGGGCCAGTATTCAGTCTACCACAGTTTGTTCTGCATGTCACACTTTCTTTGACTTCAGAACACTCACACACTCTCCCTTTCCCACTCCCTTGCCTGCCTAGGATCATCTTTGGAGATCCAGCTCTCCTAACTCCATGGGCTAGGTCAGGTCCCCCATTAACACATTTCTGTAGCACCATGCTCTTTTTCTTCATCATTTTTGTCCCATTTGCATGAGACTGTCTAGTGACTGTAGCTCTATGGGATACCGTCTTGATTTGGAGTGACCCCGAAGCAAACCCTAACATAAGGATTTCAGTGCAAGAATTTTATCTGGAAGGTGATCCCAGGAAGCTCCAGTATAGAAGCAGTGCAGTGATGCAGGAAAGAGAAGGCAGACAGGGTGTTGAGCAAGTTACCACCATGGGCAGCTGAGGCTCAGTCCTGCTGGGGACTTTCAGAGATGGTGTGGATCAGAGGGTCCTAGGAGTTGGGGTGTTTTCTCACTAACTCTAGTTAGGCATTGATGGATGGCTTCTTCTGGGGGGACACCTAACCCCAGCACTTCTGGCCTACTCTTTGCATGGGCCAAGCCTGCCTCAATGGCCAGAGAGAGCCTTCTTGCAGGGAGTTGCAGAGGCTGGTAGTTGGGAAGGCCATTGTGCATGGGAACAGTGGCTGGGGCACCAACACTGTCTGCTACAGAGTGGGGTCGTATCTGTCTTATTCCCCCACCAAGTCCCCATTGCCTGGTTCACAGAAGACCCTGGGAGGTGGTGGTTGTTAGTTGAGGTCAAGTCAACCCCCGAGTCATGGCAGCCCCATGCACAATGAAACACGCCGCTCCCCAGTCCTGTACCATCCCCGTGACGGCTGCAGATTGAACCGCTGTGATGTGCAGGGTTTTCACTGGCTGATTTGCAGGAGTCAATCACCAGGACTTTCTTCCTAATCCATCTTAGCCTGAAAGCTCCACTGAAACCTGTTCATCACAATAACACACAAGCTCCACAGACAGACGGGTGGTGGCTGCACATGAGGGCCGTTGACCAGGAATCAAACCCACATCTCCCACACGGAAGACAAGAATCCTACCACAGAGCCACCGTTGCCTCATAGATCCGGGGTCAATATTGTTAAATGAATACACAAACAAATAAATAGATTACCTTAAAGTGTACAGAGTGCTTCTGTGTGGATGGTCCTAGTTAAATGTCATTTTTTAGAATTAGAGAGGGTCCCTGGGTGGGGTAAATAGTTAAGCACTCAGCTGCTAGCCAAAAGTTTGGAGGTTTGAGTCCACCTAGAAGCAACTTGGGAGAAAGGCCTGGTGATCTTCTGAAAAACCAGCCGTCGAAAACACAGCTGGAGCACAGTTTTATTCTGTCCCATACGGGGTTTGGCCATGAATTGGAGTCGACTGGAGGGCAACTGGTTAGTTTGTTTTATTCTTTCTTCAGACTAGGAAAGGAGCCTTTGTCATCCTCTGGTTCACCACAACATGGCTGGCTCCCTCATTATCTTTCATTGGCTGGGGAGAAAGGCAGAGCTGGACTGACCCCTTCCTAGCTATGTTGCCTTAGGCAAGTTGCTTAACCTCTCTGACTTCCATTTTCTCACTTGCAAAACTGTGGACAATACTAGTACCTCCCTCGCTGGATTGTTGTGAGGATTAATTGAGACAAGACCAGAAACCATTGCTGGAGAGTAGACTCTGAGTCACCGTGATCCCACATGTACCAGAGAAGAACTGTGCTCCACAGGGTTTTCAATGGCTGCTTTTCCAGAAGGAGAACACCAGCCTTTCTTCTGAAGTGTCTCTGGGTGGATTCGAAACCCCTACCTTTCAGTTAGCAGCTGAGAAGTTAACTGCTTGTGCTACCCAGGCCTAATCTGCCCTGTTATTGTAGTTGTTAGTTGCCATTGAGTCCATTCCGATTCACAGTGACCCCATGGGTTACAGAGTAGGATGGTTCCATAGGGTATCCTTGGATGCAATGTCAATGGAAGCAGATTGCCAGACATCGTTTTCTTCCACAGTACTGCTGGGTAGGTTCAAACTGCCAGCCTTTCATCTAGTAGTTGGGTGTTCCACCGTTTGCACCACCTAGCAACTTCCAACCTGTCCTATTCACATCATCCTAGTGGGCCTGAAGTCCAATGAAAAGTGTCCTTATAAGAGACACACAGAAGAGAGACAGAGAAAGAAGAGAAGGAGACCACGTGAAGATGGAGGCAGAGATTGGAGTGATGCAGCCACAAGTCCAGGGATACCTAGAGCCACCAGAAGCTGGAAGATTCTTCTCTAGAGCCTTCAGAGAGAGTGCAGTCCTGCTGACACCTTGACTTTGGACTTCTGGTCTCTAGAGTGTGAGAGAATGAATATCTGTTGTTTAGCTACCCAGTTTGTGGTACTTTATTATGGAACTCCTAAGAAACTAACACAAACTTTTATTAGGTATATTTTGCTGTATAACATATTACCCAAAAAGGTAGTGGCTGAAATACTCATTATTTCTCAGTTTCTGTTCCACCACCCATCTGTCATTTTATCACACTTGCATGTTGCTA